CGGACAAAGGCAAGGATGAGGGCGATGTCGCGGACAAGGGCAATGATGAGGGCGAGGCCACAGACAAGGGCAATAATGAGGGCGATGTCGCGGACAAGGGCAAGGATGAGGGCGAGGCCACGGACAAGGGCAAGGATGAGGGCGAGGCCACAGACAAGGGCAAGGATGAGGGCGATGCCCCGGACAAGGGCAAGGATGAGGGCGATGTCGCGGACAAGGGCAAGGATGAGGGCGAGGACGACGGTGTGGCGATAGAAGGAATAGAAGAAAAGGCGCTGGCGGATGCTGATGCTGATGCCGATGCCGATGGAGATGGGAATGTAAATGCCGAGAAACTAGGAGTTGGCAACGGCAATGAACTGGGAGTAGGCAATGGTGTTGCTACGTTTGCCGACGAAGATCCAGTCAACAGATCTGAAGCGCGCAACTTCGTACGCCCTTTCCTCAGCACGGAGGGTACCCCGTCGCCATTGTAGTCTGCGGCAATGGAAGTGCCTGCCAGCAAGGCGATTGAAAAGGTGAGTGCACTCTGGAAATGCATTATGTCTATGCTCGAATTGCAGAGCAGAGAGAAGGTAATATGATTCTTCTTGGATTCTTCGACCCCGAATGAAAATGAAGGACAGGGATTTAATGAGAGACAATGGAACAAGAAACCCGGACGAAAAGAAAGGAGAAGACAAGCAATTTACACTGGGTCAGCCCAAGAACAAAACGATGTTACGTCTTCTTATAGCGATGATCCTTGATTCCTACAGGCACGTCTCTCGTCCAATTAACTTGACTGGCATGGATCTGCCGTGTAAAATGCAACGGGATCTTGTCATCCGCAGCCTATCGCGCGGTAGGCTTAAGCCATCGATGTTTTGATGGACGGGCTTGCACATTCCATACGATCCGCTATACATTCCACCAATTTTTTATCTTCAGTGCTTAGCTGCACTGCTCAGCTGTACACAGAAGGAGATTTGTATTTCTGTGATGGGTGGCTGTGCGTAACAACACACCCTTTGTGTCCGTACGTACAGATTAATAGTTCTTATGTAGTTACCTGGCTCGGTAGGTGTCTACATATACTAGGTGTAAGACATGAAGATCTGCATACAGCATGCATACCAACCCATACGGATCAAACATATTATTCTCATCCGGAATTAATTCTACCATTGCAGCCAATCGGCCAGTACATGTCCAAGCCAATGCAGTGAGTGGTATCTAGTGCCGCGAAGTGACAAATACGGAGTACGTATAGCTGAATTGAATTAAATGTCAAACTCTGATCTATCCCATGTCGGTCTATCTGCAATGCATCCTATCCTAGAACAGAAGAAAGAGAAGGAGTCTGCAGAATCAACCTAGCCAAACAACTTGCTCATCAAGTGCATTCCAAAGGTATCCCCACCAGGCGAATCTTCCATCCTGATTACCCTGTTCCCTGCCCTCGAACTCAACCACAAACCATGGTCACTATGGCTCTCAACATCATCTTCAATCTTGTGCCTGTTGCGGCGATCAACAACGCACATCCCTCTCGTCCACTGGCCTACAGTCTCAATTCTGATATCCTCCGGCGATGTCTTGGTAGGCTTCCATCTGGGATCATCCGCCGTCAACGCGTACCACACGCAAACCGGGTCGTGCAGAGTCAAGCTGGCCTTTGCACCCTCGTGACCCGGGTGCAGACGCTCCAGGGTCTGGAATACATGCGCCATGAACGCATCGACCCATTCAGCAAGTGGGCTGCCGGATTGGAGGAGGGGTGTGATGGTACGATCAAAGTCGCCGCGTAGGAGGTCGTGTTTTTTAGTCATATCCAGCGGGAAGGTTTTGAGGGTAAGCGTTTTGCTGAGTTTGGCTGGGTACCCTGATAGTATCTTGCTTGGGGGTAGCGTGCTCTGCGGGTTGGGCGATGTGAGGGCATACACGCGCGCTGCAGCAACCGCATCAGCGTAGGCGTTGAACTCGCCTACTGGTGTTACCTAAATATGACCATTAGCATTAGTCCGGCGATCCACTAGAGAATTTTTGATGCTGAAACAGACGGGATTCATACATTCCCAGGCTCATTGATAGCACCCCCCATAACGACCACTTCCTTCACACGGAGGAAGGTCTCGGGGTCTTTGGCGGCGGCCAGGGCGAGATTTGTCAGCGGACCAACAGCAACAATGGTCACAGTGTCTGGTTCATTGTCACTGAGGACCTGGAGAATCTCATCCGATGCAGCGCGTTTGGATGGGATGAACGACTGATGCGCCGTTGCAGAACCCACACTCGGCAGGACTTCCGGGTCTTGAATAGGGTCAAAAAGATGCTCCCATGTCTCGCCGGGAGTGAGGTGAGGATGCTATGAGGGTATTAGAAACTATGCGTAGATGTTATATATATATATATATATCAAAGGTCCATACGCACGGTGAAGTGAATCCCACCAAGACCATCCTTCCCATCTAGATACGGCACGACCAGTAGCGCTAGTCAGTAGACAGATACAAGGGCAAAACTAAACTTGAGCAGTCCTTACGAAAGTAATCCGCGAGCATCTTCTGGTCGTCCAGCGGCTCCTGTGCGCCCACCGCAATGATAGGCTTATGCGCTCGCAACGCATCGAAACCCTCCGGTTTGCCTAGTGATTTGCGCCATTGCATTTCGCGCTCGAGAATGTGCAGCATTGAAATGACATTGCGTAGACAGCTGTTGCATAGAGAAAGGGGGTGGTGTGAATATGTATACATATACGTATATGCCGGACGTTCCATACCTCTGTACTTCAATATTGCCAAATGTCAACGAGATAAGCAGCACTTCCACTTCCTCCGGAGTGGCGGCAAAGGCCAAAAGGAGAGCGAGAATGTCGTCGATGCCCTGCACGTCGCTCACGTCAGTCCTAGCTATGCAGCATCTTGACTGGATAGCGGCAGCAGCTTACCGGGTCGGTATCGATGATGATCTTGGTTTTTGGCGCCATATTCAGATGGTAAGACTGTATCAGGATAGACCAATTGTTTTGACAGACTTCCGGGAGCGGTCTGTGTTGCTGTACAGTTGGGTTGCAGGAGCGAGGTAGAATGATATCAGTGGGGAAAAGATTGATATTCAAATACTTAAATATACATCATGCAGACCCCACCCCGCTTTGATAGGATGCGCGGCACCTGCCGATGATATATATCACAACCAACAGTTTCATCTCTCCGTGCCATCGATACGACTGAGAACAATCTCCTAGCTAAATTTCTATGCACTCACCGAGCGCATCATTTTGCTGCCCGCCCGCAGCCTATATGTAGAAGACCCACGGAATCGGCGTCAAAGACTTTTGAAGTGCTTGTATCCCGAATCCATGTGGTAGTTGGCAAATATCTTGATGAAGCTATCGAGAGGCATAATTAATGATATACGATACATTCGGATGTATCCGATGCGTACGTGTGAGAAAGCTTGTTTCCATGCGCGCAAGGATGCAAACAATCAAGTCGGGAGAAGCCAAAGCGGTCACGACCCCCTGGAGCTCCAGCCAACCAGCGGCCAAGAACGCCGAGAGACCACCTCAACCTTCCACCTCGTCTCTCTTCCCTCGGACACTCCCAGGAACTTCTCCTTATAAGAGTCCCTCTTTTCTCCCCCTGATTTCTGATTTCCGATCTCTGCTCTGCTCTGTTTCCCCTCGACTGCGCTTGGCTGTTTCCCCTCGACTGCGCTTGGCCAAGTTCCTCAACCGCCCATCTTAGTGCCGAAGTCGCTCCGCTCCTTAACTGCCGCACTCCGTCCGTATCGATCGACCTTGACCTCGACTCCTACAGCATCCACCTCTCCCTACATTACTCTACAACAGCAACAAACAGCTGCCTCATACACATAGTACTCGGTACGCGGCAGCAGCAACAATTTGACGCTGACCTTAGTACAGTCGCACGCGTGCGCTTCGACTGTGTATCCTACTCTCGCCCAAAGAGGACATCTGGCATTCCCGCTCGCAACAATCAACCCTGCGGAAGCACAACCCCTGCGTCCCGAGCCACGCGGCCCCGCAACGCCGGGTCTCGGAAGCTGATCTGCTGCACCTTCAGGAAACGTATTTCATTTCTCTCATGAACTGAGCTGATCCCATCTTCGCCAAGAGACCAAGATGAATCCATACATGAGCTGGGCCATTGTGTTGGTGGTGGCCGGGGGATTGGGCTACTACTACTCTAATACATCGAAGCCCAAGAGCCGGGCACCGATTCGCGCCGTTCCTGAGAAAGAGAAAGAGAAAGCCGAAGCTATCCTGCCACCCCCCAAGCAGAAGAAACCAAAGACCCGCAAACAGCCCGAGTCGACGCCAATAGTGGCTAGCAAGTCTACCTCTTCGAGCACTCTGGTTGACACCACGAACGATGAGGCGGAGGAAGGCATTGATAACAAAGAATTTGCCAAAAGATTGGCTGCTGCCAGGTCCGGGGTGTCAGTTGGTGAAACCAAACCCAAGGCCCGCAAAGAGAAGCACGCCAAAGCAGCAGTGCAGGAAAGCACCGGCAGCGAACTATCGACACGGGCTCCATCAAGCAATGGAGCAGATGCTGATGACGACCTGTCTTCCACTGACGTTGTCTCTCCCTCCGCTGGTGATGTTTCCGACATGCTCGAACAGCCAGCCCCTGGGCCTTCCGTCCTCCGATTGACGGGCTCATTCGAGACCAAAGAGAAGAAAGCCAAGGCACCGGCATTCAAGCCAGTCGAAACCAAAAAGCAGCGTCAGAACAGACAGAAGAACGAGAGTCGAAAGCAGGCCAATCAGGAGGCGGAAGCCGAGCGGCGCAAGCTCCTGGAGAAGCAGCTCCACACAGCCCGCGAAGCAGAGCGTCGGGAAGCTGGCCGGAAACAATCTGCCGCCCCGGCTACGAACAATGCCTGGGCGAACAACACTACCAATGGCATCCATGCAACAAGAACGACGCCCGCACCTGCAGTCAATGCTGCCCTTCCCCTTCTCGATACTTTCGACCCTACCGCCCCTACAACATCAACCAGCCAGGCGGGAAGCTCGAGCACTTGGACCAACAACCTGCCTCCAGAGGAGGAACAGATGCGTATTCTCGGTATAGCTGCCCCAAGCGTCGACGAGGATTGGACTACAGTGTCATCAAAGAAGGAAAAGGCCAAGAAGAAGGCCAAGGCAGATGACAGCGCCAACGAAGCTAGTGCTCCCGAGACTGCTCCTCCTACCGTTGAACCCGAGCTGCAGCACCACCAGGCCCCTGGATGGGAGGCTCCAAAGGTCACGGAAATCCCAGTACCGCGAGGGAAGAACCACCCTCTTGACTCGGACTGGGCTGCATAAACAACATCCATTTTGTAACACAAAAAAAAATTTTCTTTTTCACACCATGGTTTTTAACACCCAAGTTGTACTTGTCTTATCATTTCATTTTTTTTAATGTACCATTGGGAAAACCTCGGCGTTCTATTCTTGGGAGGCGTGTCCTTATTTTTTTATTTTTCTGGTTTTCAATATTCTGAATGTCAGTCAGCCACCATTGGTATTCGGTTGAAGGAAAGGAGGGGGAAAGTTTTTGCAACCTTGGCCATTTCGTTGAAAAGGCTTTAAAAAAAAGGTCGTGACTGACTCCAAAAATCAGCTCTTATCATGTTTTTTTGCGCTTTTCTTCTTCTTTCCTGTATTCTTTTTTTTCCCTTCTCTTTTTTATTGGTCGTGTTAGCATATGTACTTGATTATTCCCAGTTGCAATACAACAATACCCTTAGTCTCTGGAAAGAGGGATATGCTTTCCTATAGTTTGCCTAGAACTGCGTGCAATACAAGATATCCGGGTGGAGCCAAATATTGCAATTTGTGTGGTCAATTCGGGTTGATTTGACCCACACGGCAAGGCAGCGGGTGCCAGATTTCGCCCCACTCTATAGTGACATGACCATGTATGTATAACTATTACACAAGATTCCAGATTTTAAAATCCATCCAGCACGGTCCCATAACCTTGTTCACGCGCCATATACAGCAGACTCCGCCCAATAGCAAGATCCATAATACCCATCCCGACACACTTGAAGATCACATTCCCCGAACCGTTCGGCAACGCCGCTTCATCGTCATCAGAAAGAACAAGCTCGCCCAACTCTGTTAGGTGAGAGGCATCCACTTGGGCCATGATCAGTTCCCCAGCTTCTTCCATACATGCTTCGATTGAATCGACGTATATCGCGCCGTGGGGGCCAGATAAAAGCGTTTTTAAATCGATTTCTTGCATGTGCGGTTTATAGGAGCCGATTAGGGAGATGAATCTCTCTTTTAAGCTTGAGGGTTGGCTAGTGGATATTAAGGTTGGAGGAATAAGATCGTCGTACGTGAACAAGGGCGTTGTAGATGGGGTACAGCAGAAAATGGCATCGCTCAGAGCCAGATCTGCGCGTAGTCTGGCCTTGTATGCATTTTCGCCGTCGGCTTTCGCTTCTTCCTGCTCTCTTGAATACGCATCAAGCACGAGATGTGGATAGCGTTGGCGCAGGTCTGGGAAAAGAATGGATATGATAGTTGAATCAAGACGCCTATGACTGCGATTAATGAACGTGATCTCCTCAATTTCCCTGGGATCAGGGACTGTAAGCAAAGCCAGACGTGCATGCCACTCTGCCTGCTTCCCAGACCCGAAAATCACAATTCTTTTCTTGGGAATCCATGGACAACGAGTAAACGGTATCATGGTCGCGAGCGCGGTTCGAAATGCCGTAATCTCAGCCGCGCTCAAAATGCCTTCTAGCCCACCATCTGGTGAGAGGATGTTGATCACGCCTCGGATGGCGGTAACTGCACTGTCCGATTTGTTGCCAGTATTAGGAGTAGCAGCATTGGTGGGCCTGGGCACCGTGACGACTTTGAAGCCGGAGGATTGGTCGTCAGATACGGGCATGAAGAGAGTCGTGGACCCCCACTTTTCGCTGACGATGCTGGTGCGTGCAGGCTGGTGAATTGTTTTCGGGACCCCTTCTGTTTTGGCATTGTGCTGCTGCTGTGCGGAGAATGTGCCGAGTGCGTTTAGCAGGTGTTTGAGTAGGCGCTGGCATTTGGAGTGGTCCAAACTGAGCAGAAGATTGCTGAGATGTTTTTCTGAGACGGCGAGCATGTTTGACACCTAGACACGTTAGCGAGCGGAGGACTTAGAAGAGTTCTTTTTCTGTGTCGGCTTGTTAGATGAATGGTGGAAGTTTGTTTGTTTTGTGTAAAACGTTACTTATAGAATGGTGCGGTAGCGGAGTGTGCCTCTATAAACACCCCCGGATTTCTATACCAGATTTACAAATATTTACACTGGCATTTACATTTGTTGATTTGTTTTCTAGACGTTATTGTACAACGGAGCCTCGGATATAAAATAACAACTCTCACTTAACTACCCCTCACGAGCCCAACTATGTATTGCTTATCTAATACGGCTATCTGCTCACAGCTATCGAAAGTTTCCATCGACTCACGCAACTGCTTCTCTTTCCCCAACTTCGTTTGTTCCTGCTGCAGGCTAATGGATATTCCGATGAAAATAAAAAAAGGTCGGCGACAGATGACGAGCTTGTCGGGCTCGGCAAGATCCAGGCAAGTAGGTCGCTTTCGTCGCGTGTTCTTCTAATACTAACCCCCTCCAACACTAACCCGTGCATAGCTAATGCATGATGGATGCACTGTTTCGAACGAGGCAAGGGACATGTCTAGGGTTATAGGGGCACTAGTTAATGCTGTGGCTTATTATCGTCGATATCAGTGGATTTCATGTTATTGTTGCGAGGTTGGAACCCGAGCTTTCCAACTCTGGTCACTCCTTAGCCTGTCGTTGAATTATATTAGCATCGTTGGGGAAATTTAGGCTCCATGTACTTGACGGATTCTTTTTATATTCCAAAGAAAATCACCCGTGGCAAAGCCATTTCTTAAATCGACATATATCTGGCAGACCCTGACCCTAGGCATGCATTACAATGTAAGCAATGTCAAAATTAAATCGGTATTCCATACATTCTTTTTAAGAACACAAGATGACCGGTCTATCAAGTTTCTCTAATATACATCGACCGATGAAACTGTCATTCAAACTTGTATTACCGTAGTAGACCGTCCGATTTCACGTTATTGTCAATCGACATGCCAAGCTCTTAGAAATCAGACGGCATCAGTCTTTGGTGGCATGTCTCGTAGCTCGACGGCGGATAAGCCTCTTGAAAACGCGTTCGCCCGCCCACGTTGGGTTTCTCGATCACTCAGTCGAACACTTGCATTCGGAGCCCACGGCATCACTGGTACTCGGTCGGAATCATTGGACTGTCGCTGAATACCTTTTGTGGCATCGTACTTCGACCGTAGTGCTTCTAAATCAAACAAGTCGTGGATTTTTTTGCGTCCAGTTCTCGAGAGTAGCCCGAGCTGTTTCAGCCTCCGCTGAGCGGCAGATGTGCTAATCATGTCGTCCTCATAGTAGTCCCATGGGATATTGTACCTTTTCGATCCGTCTTTCTGACGAGCGTCCGGAGAAGAATTCACGGCTGATGGAGGTCCCCGCTCACCCGGCATCATCGTCATATCCAGTCTCGTTCCGTCATAATAGTATATTTCACCTGGTGGATTGATTTCTTCGACTGGGCCATTGTCCTGGAAGCCGTCACGTGGAGGATTCTTTTCCCGGAGATATCGTCGTCGTATATAGAGCAAAAGACCGCTTATTATTGTGACTGCGATAAGGACGAACGAAACAATGTAAAATGCTCTTCTCTCCCTCTTCCATTTCGCTTGGCAATGCGCGTTAATAAGCTCGACATCTTTTTCAGGGTAGCACATCTTGCAAATCAGAGCTGCGTCTGGCTCAACTTTTTTAGAGTTGCACATTCTTCCCAAGTCCTCATTCTCGCACACTTTGGCCTCGCATACCTCCTCTCGGCGATGCTTGCGTTTTGAGCGGCGCTTGACTAGGTCGAGTATAGACTTTTCATATTCATGGGCCGGGCCTCCTTCAGCGCCAAAATCAATAGCCGTCGTTTGAGATGCTGGACTTCTACCGGGATACAATTGCTTCGGACTGATTGGAAACTGGTCAATCTGGGATTGTGCGTAACGTTGGAGGCTTTCCTCGAGGGCCCTGCCCATGACAATAATGACTCTCTCACAAGCCTTCACAAGGTCCGGTAGAGTAAAGCTGCTGTTGTTGGTCTCTGCGGCAAGCGTACTGAAAACATCGAGAAATTGAGCACAGTTCTTAGTATCCTCTATCAGACGACCGTGATCTTCGTAAATCTTCAGCACATGAAAAATATTTGTGCTGATATACTGTTCTCCATGAGTTGAACAAGATTTCTCGTCTGTTCGATGGGTGGCAAAGCAGAAGGAAGCCGCGACGAGATATAAAATAAATGGATGATAACGCATGATGATGGCAGGCGACTTGTATTTGCGTAATTTGAAAATCGAAGTTGGAATGCAGCATTCAAAAGATACTGGAGAAAACTATGCACAGATGACTAAATCCCAATTTTCTAGTGAAGCTGAGAAAGTTCCCATCGTCGGTTTCGGGTCCAAGGGGAAATAACCACCGGCAGTCACATGTTTTATAGCAAGCCTGAGGAAGGCGCGACTGCTTCGGTGGGCCTGAGGCAACGGAAAAATACCAATTCTACAGAGCACGTCATGGCACTTTGACGCTTCCATTCATTATTAGTTGTAGTAGTATAAGCCTCCATGGACGCTCGTAGACAGGCTAGATGGCTGGATTTGAGGAATCGTTTGAGACGATGGACCTCCTTCCTGTAGTAATCGTCCTCTGATTGCTAGCGATACTCGCATGAAATTGTTCAACTCATCTTCCATTTTCCACCTCGTAGAACCGTATTGAAGGAGGTCCCCAATATACTGTAGACACCTTGCCGCGCGTGAATGGCAATTGATTCGGTCTTCCGCAGCAAGGTAAGGAGGCTCAGGTGTGCCGGGAGGCGTCGCTGGTGGCTCGGGCAATTTGTTGCTCAAGAGCAAATCATAACTTTCGTTCAGTAATCTGACTAGTAGCTGTCCAACTTGATAAAGACGTTGAATGTCCACATATGTAACAAAAGGAAGGCTGCCCGGCTTCTCTAAAACTTGATGTAGTTGGCTGACAAAGTCAATACATCGATCAAAAAGCAAGACTCGGCTGAAATCACAGATGTCAGGGTCGCCGTAAGAGGGCGACAGAAATACGATCGTGCAGTAAAGTAGCTCCAATCGGTACAGAAGACCAAAGGAACTTGATTGAATCGTCGGTGCTCCGGCATACCATTCGCGGGCGTCAGAACAAAGCTTCCACGCACGAGCTATTGCATTGGGCACACGGTTGCGTCCGTCGAAGTGCATCTCTTGGTATGCTCTGGACAAAATGCGGCGAATCTTAATCAAATGAATGGCATGATCCAAACTCTTGAGAAATATGTGCTCATCGAATGAATCATTAGAATGCACATGGACAACTGGGAGGTCAACATTGACTGAAAGGTCGGAAAACGAAAAGCTATGGCCAAGAGATGTGCAAACGATGCTAGAAAAATGAATATCAGTACGGTTACTATATACTTCTCACCCCCTCATTCACGTCTCTCTCTCCCTTTTTTTTTTTTTTTTTTTTTTCCTTTTCTCCTTTTCCCTTTGCTTCTGTACATGTCTTAAAAGAGAAGACGTACCGGTCTAATGAGTAAAGTGAATAAAAGAGCCGTCGTCGCTGTTCTTGGACATCTTTGTCAACAATGACTTCTGCTGGCGGATCTTGATGAAGACCCAAATCGATCATGACTCGAGCGGCAAATGAAATTAGAAACCGAGGACGGAAGTGATCAGGATCCAAGAGTGAATACTGCACGAGAAGAAGAATTGCTTGAATGCCAAGTGTCGAGCCGGGCTGTAAGACCTCACCCCCAATAGAAATTGCTGCCGAAACCATCGAAAAGGCAAATTGCTGGTTAACGTTCGGTTGTTGGTGCCATAGAGAAGCAGATGAAATCGCAAGGACCATGTATACCATCCACTGATCACTTGGTTTCGCATATCGGCCCCCACTTTGGTACACGGCCTCCACGGAGGTCCAAAATGTGGTCTCGGTGAAGAACGGCAATTGAATCAAGATGTTATCGAAGTAGAACTGGATGAGCCTAGTAGCTTCTTGCCTGGAGGGCAGTGATTGGTGGGTGGCTTGAGGAAGTGGTTTCACTATTGATAACGTTAAAAGCAACTGCGCAAACGATACATTTGAAGTGATGCCTTGAAAATCCCGCGATGTTGCATTGACAGACCTGCAGCACCATTATCAGTAGTCTGTATCTAGGGAAGTATGTGTCTTCGAAAGGTTGCCACATACAGAAATCCAAAGTCACCCACGAGGTCGTCGATGTCAGACACTTCCTTGCGATGGGCCCTTGAGCTGCTATTCTCTGCCGCAAAGGCCGTTATAGAACTCTGTGGCAATTCCTGTCCATCGCTATTATGCGAAGCTTGCACTTGCTTTCGGCGGATTTCGGCAAGGCGTTTCTCCAGCTTCTCACAATAGCCCTCTAGGGACGCCACATAGCTCCGTTCCTTTCCTTTCGCGAACTCGTCTGTAGCACCCGAGCAGGTGTTGGCCTTGCCGGCCTTCTCACACGCCGAACAGGCCGGGAGCTTCCCATCACATTTGATTTTGGCAGTGCGGCATCTTAGACAGGCAGCAACTGGGCGGCTGACTTTGAGCACTGGACTATCAAGAAAGGCTGAGGAGGGCATTGCTAGTATGGCTGTATCACATTTCTCCTATAACTAACAACCGGCTATTGGGCGTCGACAACAGATCTGGACGTTAGCCCCCGTTTATTTCAGGGGCGAGCTAATTTATTGTCTGCGTTAGCCAGCCTTGTCCGTGACTCTTCGATGCCTTCCTTGCCTCTTCCTTGTTTCGGCTATTGCAATGCACTCCTTCGTTAGCCACCACCAATAAAACCGAGCACAGCACTCCGTGAGCTGTGAGCACCGCGATGCAGCGACGGACCCACGTTGATATGCGGTGTGGGGGTTAGAGCCTAAGAAGCGCAGAGAATACCAGGGAACACGTTGCCATTCCTGCATTCCTCTGCTTTGTTCATCTGATCTCGATATGGCATTCGCTACTCCGTGGTCGCACCAACAGCTAACGATATGTCGTGGATTCGCATGACGAAGTTGGGCTCCGCCATGGGTTGATGTGCGCTGCAGTGTATTTTATGTATTTCGCGTATTTGACGCGTAACGCGGGTAAATACCGGCGGTAACTTTTCTAACTCCGGATTCCGCCCGTCACATGATATCAGCTATTCGTCTCGGCTGCTTCTTGCTAGTTCTTACTCTGCTCTTAACTAATTTGTATTTCATGATTGTTTGTCATTCATGATTGGGCAATCGAGCGCTAACCAGCTTACTAGCGCGCCGTCTTGTTATATTATTGTCATATTATACAATACAACGACCGACGCCTGAGCTACAGCCAGGCCAAAGCGCTCGACGGGCCCCTCGCGACATCCTGCACTTGGCGAGCAATGACAGTGTTGGCTTTGCCTTCACGAGTTCCGCCATATCCGTCGCTTTTTGTATTCAACCGTAAAATCAAAAGCACCATTTCATTCCAGCTGGCGTCTTGTTGTCCGGGCTTCCCCAATGACACAACTTGCCTTTGTGCGCCCCGTGCTCGGTCACTCGATAACCATACAGGCAAGGCGCAGATCATGACTAGAGTAACATTGAAATCCTCGCTATTCTCTCACCTCGCGTCAGCACACACTTCTTGAGACTTCCCAAGATGTCTAAACATTGGGCCCAATCGGATTCTCGACCAGTCTTCACGAACCCGTGGAGACAAACCCCGCCATTCAGAAGTGTGCCAGACGCACCAGATGGGAAAATAGCCCATACCTTGACGGCTTGCACAAGATGTCGACAAGTAAGAAAAAACATGACCTCTCTACTTCTGTGCAAGAAGGCGGAAATACTTACCTTAATCCCCCTCATGGAAAAAGAGAAAATCCAGGTGCGACCCGGGCATACCGAAATGCGAACCATGTGAACGGAGCCATGCGCGATGTGTCTACTATGATTCTACGCGTAACCAGACTGTCTCTCGCTCCTACATAGTCCAGTTACGGGAAAGAGCTCACGCGCTCGAACGAGAAATTGAAGAAGCCGAGAAGGAAGTCAGGCATGCGGCCGATGCAGAACTTATGGTCCGAAGTGCTGGCCGTATCAAATTTGCGCCGTCTGACGAACCAAGATACCTGGGGCCGTCCAGTGGGATCGCCATAACGAGACTGGTGATGGAGCTGGCCAAGCAGAACACCGACTCAAAAAGTATCAAAGATGTCGTCCCAGAGATGACTGCGCAGGAGATACGCGACATGTTTGCCAAGGAAAGCTCTAAGCCGACTTCCAAGGTTTATCCGATGATCAGTTCTGTTCCTCAGGACAGTCTACCTCCGCAGGAGCTAACCTACAAGCTGATCGATCTTTACATGGTCAAAGGTGCGTATTCAAATTTGTTATTGAGGGACCGGTACTGAATGGATTTCATGTTCGATCCCAGGCCAAGCTATGCTGCCAGTGCTCCACGAGCCCACCTTTCGTCAAGACGCGGATGATGTCTTCAGCGTGTCTAAAGATCCTGTACAAAATTTTCAGTTGCGAATGGTCATCGCAATCAGTATGCAGAAACTCAGCCCCGAATACGCAGGATTAGCCGATAGTTATTATCTAGCCGCCCTTCCTTACTTTGAACGTTCACTGCAACGAATGGATCTAAGGTCGCTACAATGTCTAGCACTTATTGCGCAATACTCACTGGTAACGCCAACTAGGACTGCATCTTACTGGGTCGTCGGGGCAGCTGCGAAACTCACTCAGGAATTGGGACTCCTTGAAGAAAACACCATCACTACGGCCCCGACAGGCGAGGCATTAGATACCTTAGAGGTGGACATGCGCCGGCGACTCGCGTGGGTTGTGATCACAATGGAGTTTGGCTTGGCCCACAGTTTAGGCCGCCCGAGTTCACTATGTATAAGTCACGACCACTTGGATATCAAATTCCCTGAACTAGTGGATGACCGCTTTATCACTCGCCAGGGGATACTTCCAGGGGCAAAGCCTATTTTGGCGAAATGCATTGCTATACATTTTTTCAAAATGCGATTGTTGCAGGCTGAGATTCGACGGACTCTATATTTGAACAAACGGGAGTCCCCTTCGACCGACCAAGACCCCTGGTTTTCATGCATCCTGGCAAAACTGGACCATTGGGTAGAATCATGTCCTAAAGAGGATGGCGGCAGTGGTCTAAGTAAAACCTGGTAAGCTTTTGGCGACACAAGTCAATTACCTGATTAGTAAAAATTTCCTAACATTACACGCATTTCAGGTTCGTTGGCCGGAAGAATACTATTATTGTCATGCTATATCGTCCCTCGCCTCAAATACCTGAACCATCTGTTGATGCTGCCCGCAAATGCTATGATGCTTGTGCTTTCAACGTAAAAATGCACCGAGATCAGATGACAACTGGCTCTGTCGACTTGACGTGGGCATCTACTCAGGCTCTATTCATGGCGATTAGCACGATGCTATGGACGCTGTCGTATCCTGATATTCGCAAAGAGCACCATATCGAAGAGGTAAAAAGTTTTCTTCAAATTGCGTTGGAGGCGGTCGCGATATCAGCTTTACGGTGGCCCGGGTGCGAGTCGGCGCTTCAGCTGTACAGAAGTCTTATTGCAGCGTGCCTCAAAGCATATGACACTGCAGAATCCTTCGTTGTCCATACGCCCTCGACTCAACCATCACCTATCTCGGTGCAGGAGGGGAATACACCCCCTGTTATGTCCAGCCCTTCCGCGAGATCACAGTATTCGACACAAACGGTTATCTCTTCAGGGGCAACAGCATCTGATTTTCATTCAAGAGGCCCCTCCGTGGAGCCTGCCCGAGAAAATACTCCTAACCAAGACCAATCCACCTTACCGACGCCTCAGCCTCCCTCAACCACGTTTAATAATTCTTCACACGCCTCTGTTTATCCGACTAGCCAGCCCAGCAACAAACAGTCTTCCAGACAAAATTATTACCACAATCGACAGCCCTATAATCCGATATATACCACTTACGGCGATCCCAACTTTGATCCTTCTACACCCTTTAATGCCTTTCCCTCGGTTGTCCCTAGCTTTCCTGGTTGGGACCCTAGCTATACAACCGTAGCGACCACAGCGAATATCGGTGACTACGTTGAAGCTAATAATGACCCCGCGTTCTGGATGGGACCATTTGGGGACCAATACTCCCAATATTCGAATCAACCAGGACCTTGGCGGGGACGCACACTCAGTCAAGAGGAACAGATCGAACTGATGGACTCTCTAGCAGATAATATACCAGATGTGTCGGCTTTATTGACTAGTGATGCAACCATATACTACCGTTCTTGATGTTTTATGATCATGATCAACATTCATTTCCGCGATTCGGAGAAGCGTGGAGAAGCTACACATTTCCAAGATAAACCCTCTGGATTGTTCATTGCTGAGCGTTCGGCCAGTTTTGCATCTGCTTTTGAAGATATTCCGGATGTATAGCGAACATGTTTGTACTATAATGCGAATTTACGGGGATATGCTGCGAGTTATCGTTCGTTGATATAGCCTGGATGGAGTACAAGATCTCCACTGTACCGCCGAGAGATTATAGCGGGCTATTTATAGGCTAGCAGACCCACTGCGGGTATGTTCGTTTTTCCCCGGACTTCGATGGTATTAATACATGGAGATCACAGCTATTGTGGAGGGCACATTACATTGTATCTGCTTAGGCAAATAAGGTGTAAAGAATCACACAAAAGTGTCTGTTAGAACGTAGTATAGGCCTGCTTGCTTACTCGCTTGGATGTGTAGGGGTCTGAAGAACATGGGTCGTTTTGCTTTAATGTTATAATACTGTAAGTTCTTTCAACTTCTGTGTCTGCCATCTGATAATGAAGGAACCAGCTCTGAGCTGAGCTTCCCACAGATCAAAAGTTGTTAATACGTAGATGTAGCCAGCTTACTATATAGCTTACGATGCAACCTTCTTCGCAGTGAGTTAGCTGGGGGTCTATATGTATATGCGGTATTATACAAAGCAGTGACCAGGTCCCGTTTTCATTATCTTTTTGGTTGGACCAGGTTAGTCGTGGGAAGGTTTACGATCTTGGTATCTTCTTTTCTCAGTCGAATGCGCATCCTCAGAGCAGGGCACAATCTCGTTATGAGAACCTTTTCCATTTTCCCTATGTGAAGCTTTATTAACTGGCTCGGACAAGGTGACTTCTCTGTATAGCACATTCGATTATGGCAAGCTGGAACAGGCGTCATTGCTTCAAAACTTTCCATGAAGGACAAGGATGAAAGACTACGCATTACTTCAGCGGCTAGCAAATCATGGAATATGCTAGAGGGTTGGATTTATATGTTAAATAGCAGGAAGATCACATGATGTAGTTCTCTAGCATCGACTTCTCGGAGTAGATTGTTGGATTCAATGCCACCGCTGTCTGTAGTTATGATCGCCGCTTGTCATCAAATGATCCAAGTCGCGGCTGTCGGGGGTGATTCCCCGACAGGGAGATATTTTGTTTTTTAAATGTTTTCCTAATCATTCTTCAGATCGTGGACCCAATTCTCCTATATAGCGTGAGACAGCATCCTTGTTGGTTCTACTATGAGATGGCAATAGGAGGCAATACGGAGCAGCGAGTCTCAAATACGTGCATCGGTCAAATTGCCGTTTATGAAAAGAGCGTCGACGAGGCTTTACTCAGTCCCAAATCTGAACGTCTTCGCCATAGTGCAAATAATAAGTTTTTGGAAAGCCCTGGAGGCACTGAGGTTTCGCGCCAAAGAACCGATGTATGGTTCTATCAAGTCAATATAGAGTATATGGAAGATGAACGTGCTCTCCCTCCTGCAGAAGCTAACGATCTTGAAGATCTTCAGTTGAATCTGCCTTTTTCTCCCTAGATAATGCGAAAGACGCCTCTCTGGGGGGGGGGGTTTAGGATGGGATTGATTGTTGGTATACCAAGGTTTTGACCAAACTGCCTTCCAAAGCTTCGTTTGGGTTCGCTTCTTGTTGACCTGAAGGTTGACCGCTGAATGCTTGCTTCTGAATGTTTGTGGTTGCGTAGAGGATGGCCACTGCACCGACAATGTAAAGGAAATGGTGCGATTCTGTAACCCGCGTTGTGGTATAGCGTCTTGAGTCGAAGCCGATCACGTGCCTCCTTGCCGGCAGCCCGGAAGCCCGACGGTAACGGCAAAGTCCGTGCGTGCATTCAACAGTTGCAAAGCTGGCAAAGGCCAGTTTGATCACGTGCTTCACGTGGTCGCCGTCCGGTCGCCTTTGCCGTCATTTCAGGTCTTCGTAACCTCACTTCAACCCTCAGCAGAGCTTGGTTCAGCACTGGCACAACGCAGCCCAGAAGTGCAGTTTATCTTCCATCATCATACCACCGCTGCTCTCGAACGCTTCCGCTCTCTAATGCAGGTTGTTCAAGTGGCATCGCAACCCGGAATTTTCCCGTGAGGCGAAACGCTGATCTGCCGACTCCCTTCATTCGTTTTCTTCGATCGGCCTTTGCAATCCATCGTACCGTCCTCAAACGTTGGCGACTGGGCGTTGTCGAACAACGGAAGATCTCAATATCACGCTGTCTTGAAGAAAACCCATGTCCGATTTTCCTCAGCTAGCAGTCGCTTCCCTTTCAACCAGTAACTCCAAGGCGGACCTTTCGCCTCAAAATCCAAACAGTTTCTATCCTCACTCTCCTACATCTCCTCCGTTGATGTCAGTCGGTGCACAAAGCTATGCCTCCAACTTCGCAAATACGCATACGTCCCCCAGCCACACGACGTCAAACGGACAGCCCCTTTCATCGCCGCCCTCGTCGACACCAATGTCTGCTCAAACCTCACTGCAGCCAGCTGTGAGTGTGACGAATTCGTTTCCCACACCAGCTAGTAGTGTTAGCGGTCATCCACGAAATACGACGCCTGCAGATGAGTCGGAAAACACCGACAAAGCGTGGGGTCACGGAACGAATGCGGTAGAGAATGCAGACGCTACCAATATCGATCAATCAGAGCACAGGCGCAGTAACCACGATCGACATAAGCTGAACATGGAAGGTTGGCCAGCGTCGGCAGATGTTGATATGATGGACGTCGACTCCAAAATGGACAGCTCCTTGATTCGCGATTCGAGCCTTGATGCACTGCAGCAGGACATTGGCACGGCATTTCATCTTTGTAAATCTGGTAAGGGCTTTTACTTCTTTTCATGACGCAGATATCCCTTTTGACTGCACTTGCTTGCGAGTCTAGTAGGTTTCTGTGTCTGTGCGTTAACAAAATTCCACGAACAGTTCCTACAGTTACAGGACCTGATCCGAGCCTGGATATTATATCCCTGTATGGGCTGGGGCCAATCGGGAGATCGGTCATGAGGGCAGATCCTGTAACAGGTGAAAAGATCAACCGTCTGCGCAAGTCATATGAAGGGAAGTTGAAAGGACTCGGCTTGTCTGGAAGGAACAAAGCCGTGAAAAACGAGGGTGGGCAGTCAGGGGGCTTGCGACATCTGATGATGTGGCCGGAAGAAGAATGGCACATTCAGAAGGTTCATGGCAAGGAAATTAGAGTCGCAGAAGCCGAGTCGGCACTTCATAAGTTGCAAATGCGGGCAATGAAGTTGGAGCCGGGCCCCCTCCCGAACAGCGAGTATTGGGAAGACATTCTAGGCCACGAAAAGCAACCGAAACATGGTGTTGACAGCGGGAAGAGAGCGGTGTCCACGCCGAATGCTGTTCGTCCCGTTGCTCAAGCGAATGGGGTAGCGACAGCAACCACGATGCCAGAGCGTATGCGCGCGACTCGTGGGAAGAAACGACATTATGATGACAACAGCTTTGTTGGGTACGGAGAAGGATACGTTGATGACGATGACGAAGCAGGGCTCTATTCACAGGGGGAAGACAGGAGCGGGAAGAAGAAGCGCAAGAAGGTCTATTTTACTTCGTCTGCTTCATAAGACAGATAATCTAACGGGCTTACTTGCAGGAACACATTACCAAGATGTCTCCTATGCCAGAACGCACGGGAAGTTACTCAGTTGGTATGTACGGGATTGGGGCCAGATGAAATGACTCCACACGGCGGTATGGCCTCATTCGATGGGGTTTGAATTTTAAAATACCCTTTTTTTCTTCAACGTACATGTTCATTATGCATCGAGGTGCTGGATATACCCGCTTTATTGAAAATCTTCGGATGGCGTTTACGGCTGGCGTTTTTTTTTTTTTTT